CTATCTATCTATCTATCTATCTATCTATCTATCTATCTATCTATCTAATATCTATATATATATCTGCCCATTATACCAACATCAACTCCATCAACCAATCAAGAGGCAGCAGCGCAGCCAACCAGCCCAGCACACCAGCCCCCCCCCCCACCAGTATTTATAGAGAGACGGCAGCTCCGATCACACACTGCTTGCACTGGCACGAAGCCGAAAGCACCAGCCTGAGGATGGCAAGTGGGACCTCGCCGAAACGTCGCCAAGATACTCTTAATCTTACACGGGAAAAGACCCGAACACACCTAGACCTACATACCTGTACCCGTGAAAATCTACGAAAACAAATATCGTACCTTTACGGGGAGGAAACCTTCCGGCTAACCAGGACCTACGAGAAACTCGAAGTCCGAAGAGCCACCATCTTGTGTGATCTCACATTCCTATGTAATTGCCGAGACAAAAATGTGATCCCCACATGCTTCCAACTCAAATTCCATTCCAAAACTTCAGCCACTGAAAGGATCCTGAAGAGAACGGAATTAGCCCTAATCAGAAATGAACTCCACAAGAAAAGATTCCTACTAGACCAAACCAACAGAGACCTACTCACACTCCATCTCAAACTCAGCAACAAAATCCACCCAACACTCTGGGACAAATCCAAACAACTAGCCTTCTGGAGAGCTGAAACAGAAACAGAAACCTCCCACAAGACAGACACACACACCAGGAAACTCCACAGACTAGAGAAACGCCAGAAACCCAACCCTTCCCCACAACAACACATGAAACAAACAGTACACAACGTATCAGACAGAACCCTCACCATAGCAGAAACCAATGTCCTTCCAAAGGATTCAACTTTGCAATCGCCCCCAAACACATCCCCACTGGAAACATTATATTCGGAGTTGAAGCTAGCCTAACCAAAATCAACCCAGATGCAGCCAACAAAATCAGACTTGAAGTCACCAATGTCATCTGCTCCAGCAACCCACCCAGAAGCAACCTACACAGAGAAGAACAAAAAGCACTCACCAACCTGAGGAAAGACATCAACATCATCATTCTCCCAGCAGACAAAGGCAACACCACAGTCGTAATGAACACATTGGATTGCCACTCCAAACTATCCAACCTACTTCAAGACCCCGCTTACAAACCTCTGAATACTGACCCCACCACCTATCTAGAAAAAACCACCAAATCTAAAATAAAAGCGTCTCCCATCAGTGAAGAGATCCAGCAGAGAATCATCCCCAGAGAAAAATCATCCAGATGCCCTAAGCCTCCCCATCCAGATGCCTCCCCAAGATACATAAAGAAGGAACACCACTCAGACCCATAGTCAGCTCCATAGGCTCACCTCTACAGAATCTTGCCAAATTTCTCGCAAAACAACTCCAGCCCTACACAGAATCCATCACCTCACACGTAGAAAACTCCTTCCACTTCATAGAAACAATAAAGAAACAAAACCTACAACCCAGCAACCTCCTCGTGAGCTTCGATGTCATATCCCTCTTCACCCAAGTACCCATCAAAGAAGCCTTGACAGCCATCCAAAACAAATACAACCCCCACCAAACACATCCTAGATCTGACCAACCACTGCCTAACCAACACATACTTCATCCACAATGGACAAAGATACAAACAGATAGAAGAAGCACCCATGGGATCACCCCTCTCATCTGTCATCGCTAACCTATCCATGGAACACTTTGAAACCAACGCTCTAGACAAATCCAAACACAAACCCAAACTCTGGTTCAGATATGTAGATGACACTTTCGTAATTTGGCCACACGGGAAAGAAAAACTGGACAACTTCCTCACACATCTCAACAACCTACACCCCAAAATACAATTCACCATGGAAACAGAAACCAACAACCAACTTCCCTTCCTGGACGTCCTAATTTACAAAAAATCCAATGGCTCCCTAGGACACACCATCTACCGGAAAAAAACACACACCAACTGCTACCTAAATGCACAATCCCATCACCACCCTGCACAGATCAACTCTGTAGCCAAGACTTTCATCTCCAGAACCAAACACCTAGCTGACAAAGACCACCTGAAAACAGAACTACACACCCTCACTAACGTATTAATTTCCAACGGATTCCAAAGGAACACTATCACCAATCTAATCCGAAAAGAGATACCCCCAAAAAACCAAGACACAGAACAAGACAATGGTATCTCACTCCTCCCCTACATCAAAGGCACCACAGACAAAATCAGCAAAATTCTCCACAAACACAATATCAGGACAGCCTTCGGCACTGACCAAAAAATAGCCAACATCCTAAGAAACCCCAAAGACAAGATCCGGCTAGAAAACCAAGGAGTTTATGAAATACCATGCAACAATTGCCCAGCCACATACATTGGACAAACCAACAGGAGAATAAATGCACGCATCGCAGAACACAAAAACGCAGTCAGAAGAGAATACTTCCTCCCTCTTCCAGCACCTTAAAGCCACAGGACATGAAATTAATTTCGAAGGAACCAAATTAATATCCAACACTGAACACTCCAACAAGAGAATAATCAGGGAAGCCATCGAGATAGAGAAACACCCCCATAACATGAATAGACGGGATGATACCTCCCGCCTACCAGACATCTGGAAGCTAGCCCTCACCAACAAACGAGTCCCAGCCACGAAAACCAACACCAGACCCAAAACAACACGGGACACCACTGCCAATCCCCCTCATCAGACCCAGGACCCACCCCATCCTATAAACGAAGGACAACCACCATCCAGAAAACAGACCACGGCTTTTTCGCCAGCTGTGACACACCCCGACCCCAAAACCAAACAAGCTGACACATGCCAAGAACACAGACCCAGATCCCAAACTCGAAGCCAGACTAAAACCCAGAATGCTACATCACAGCCACCCGCTCAGGATATCACATCAGAAAACTCAGGAAATTACACCACAAGAACTCAAGAAGTTGCAACACAGCAAATGACCCAGGAAATCACAGCACAAGACCAAGGATACCACAGCAATAAAACTCACAAGGTCACCACACAACCCATTACCCTAGCCGTTACTACACAGGAGGCTAATGGAAAAGAGATCAAAACACAAACGACCCAGGAGATTACAACGCAGGACCCAGGATACCACAACAAAAGATCTCGCAAGCCCATCACACAACCCATTACCCAAGCCGTTAAAACACGAGAGGCTAATGGAAAAAAGATCACTACAAAACAAACGACCCAGGAGATTACAGCACAAGATCCAGGATATCTCCACAACAAAACTCACAAGGCCATCACAACTCCATCAACCAATCAAGAGGCAGCAGCGCAGCCAACCAACCCAGCACACCAGCCCCCCCCCCATCAGTATTTATAGAGAGACGGCAACTCCGATCACACACTGCTTGCACTGGCATGAAGCCGAAAGCACCAGCCTGAGGACGGCGAGTGGGACCTCGCTGAAACGTCACCAAGATACTCTTAATCTTACATGGGAAAAGACCCGAACACACCTAGACCTACATATATATATGGTATTCAGCTTTGTTCGGGTATTTTCCCACGTCATTGTAGTTGTGCTTTTAAAGTTGTAGTAACGTTTCGGCAGAATCTCATCTGCCATCATCAGGCTTCTGTATTGTGTTCGTCTGTAAGTCAGACTGTTACAGTGGTTTCAGATTTAAATTTGGGGCTAGCCTATTGCTGTGCCAGAATGGAAGTGTGTTCCAGCTTTTTTACTGCATTTTTGTGTTCATCCAGGCGGGTACTTATTCTATTTAGAATAGAATAGAATAGAATAGAATAGAATAGAATAGAATAGAATAGAATAGAGGAATAGAATAGAATAGAATAGAATAGAATAGAATAGAATAGAATAGAATATAGAAGAAGAAGCACAGAGCTGAAGACAGAAGCCTGAAGATGATGAATGAGACTTCATCGAAACGTTGCCTAGATACTTCCAATCTTACGCGGGAGAAAACCCGAATAACCAAAGATCCACATACAA